TCACTCTGTTGCCCAGACTGGAGTGCAGTGGCCGCTTCCGGCCACCACAGTCTCGACCTGCTGGGCTCCGGCGATCCTTCTGCCTCAGTCTTTCAAGTAGCTGGAATTACAGGCATGAGCTACCACGCCCAGCTCATTTTTTATTTATTGTAGAGATGAGGTCTCAACAAGTTGCCCAGATGGGTCTCGAACCCACGGGCTCAGGCAATCCACTCACCTCAACCTCCCAAAGGTGCGGGATTACAGGCTGAGCCACCGAGCCCGGCTTGTTTCAAAATTTTTAAACTTGACATTATGTGTTGACATTTAGAGTTCTCTTGTTTGCCCCTGCAGTGATTTCCTTCCTTCTGTTTAACTTGTCCTTGAATTCCTCAGCTCGCTCACGTAAAATGGAAGCTTAAGCCCTGATGAGGGAATTTCCCTCTACCACTTTGTGTTTATTACTGTTAGTTTTCTTCTCAGCTGCAGCAGCTTCTGCTCATCTTGTGAAACAGAGTTCAAGCAAATCAGATTATTTTGCAATTTTTTTCTAATGTCACCTCTGATCTGTATTTTGGAAGTGGTCATGTCATGTTCATACATGTGAGGGTTTAATATTTTATGAATTTTTTCTTGTTGCTGATTTCTCATTTAATTCTGTTGGCATTATAGAGCAGGGTGCATACTATTTCAGTTTTAATGTCCACGTGGTGTGTCTCTGACCATGTGTCTACCCTGGTGAATGTTCAACATGCATCTGAAATGAATATGTGTCTCAGTTACCGGGAAAAAATGAACACAGACCCACATACATTCCTGTTTTTATAGCATGTGGATTTTGATCATTTATAAATCAATCTGTGGGGTCATATTTATATCAGTATTTAGTTTATATCCTCATAACACATTGAATTAATCTTACAGAAATAAAAAGGAAAACATCGGCAAATTAATCTGCAAACAAAAATATTTCGTGGAGCAGAAATGCAAACATAAATTCCAAAAACATGACACTACCTCATATCTGATATGCAACAATTTCCTAATCAATATAATCAGTATTCATCGTTCATTGAAAAACAAATGTTTATCTTCTATACTTTGTACCATACAGGTACCAAGCAGAAATTTCCTGGCTTTTGTCTTGAGCATACAGCCATTTCCTTCAGATGTGTGTGTGTCTAAAGGTCGATATGCCTTGCCGAGGGTGAATTGCACAACTGAAAATATCCTAATTTATCCCAGTACAGACATTCAGAAACCCTTGATCATCACAAGTGACATCTCCATGAGCAAAAAATGGACGCAGTGGCTCAGGAGCAGAAACTTGGGTGAATGTGAAGATATGGGATCCATCCCTAAGGTTATAAAAGGAGAGGATCCCCATATCCATATCCAGGAAAACCCCCACGTGTTGCACCCAGGGGCCCACCCAGAGAGGAGTCATAGACCCAGTGCTGGCCCAGAGGCATGGTCCTGCCCTACGACCCACAGTCCAGAAGCCGAACTCTGAAGAAAGTGTGAATGTTACTCGCCGGTTCACAGATTCTTTGCAAACACCCACATCCCAGGTATTGCTTGTGCCCATGTGCACTTCCCAGTAATGGCGCCCAGATGTGAACTGAGGGGTACCCAGGACACACAGTGCAGGGTTGAACCTCTCAGCATGCTCCTCCCTGTTGTGTCTGAAACAACCACAACGGACCTTCCTCAGGTCATCAGAGATGATGAGGTGGTTGTTCGCCGTGTCCACATCCAAGGTCATGTCCACTATGGAGAAAAAAAATAGTAGTTCATCAGAAACACACAGTAGAATCTCCTGATTTTTTTCCACTATGAAGAAAAGGACCCAAATATTTTATTCACTATCACTTGTGTATTCCACTTTTTTTACTCAAATCACAATTTTCTATGAATATTCTCCAGCCCCATAATTAGGGCAAGTTTAATGTAGAGAATGCATGAAATATATTAATAATTGCTACAAATTCACTATAGTCATAGTAGAAGCTTTTTTCCCCTTAAATCATTGATTATTGTTTGGTTGTTATTTGTTTTTTAGAAACAAGTTCTCACTCTGCCGCCCAGGTTGGTATCGAACTCCTGGGCTCAAACAATCCTCCCCCCTCAATTTTTCAGAGTGTTGGGATTACTGGTACAGCCACCATGCCAGGCTCAATTACTGAATATTTTGATTAAATATTTCCTTTTAATGCATAAGATACACGAAGGAAAAAGCTTCTTTGCTCTCATAATTATTATAAGCTCCACAGATTCGTTGAAAACCTGTACTGAGTCATGCACACAGCTATTATTTGGGAGCACAAAAATTGTAGCTTGCAGAGGTTAGCTAATGCTGAGATGTAATGGACAAAAGCTGCTTTTTCCAGGACCCAGTATAGGTTGAGGACAGGCTGCACAGATTTCTTACCTCGGAATTTCTTCATCTTTGGATTCATCTGCAGAGCAGCTCTCAGTTGGGGCTCTAGTTCCTTGACCGTGGAAACCAACTTCCCCAGCTGGGAGATGGGCCTGATGTCCTTCTTCTGAGAGACCACAGGGCAGAAGGGGCACAGGACACCTTCCCCGTTGAGCTCCTTAGGCAGAGAGTTGACACACTGGAGGCAGCAGACGTACCCACACTTCAGTCGCACAGGATCTTCAAGATAAGTTCGGCAGACATAGCACTGACTCACATCTTTGAAGTGTTCCGCCATGGCCAACGTCTGGGGGAAAGGAGCCCAGTATGAGAATTCCCATGAGCTGAATAGTTAAGAGTCTCTGGGGCACTTTTATCTTTACTTGCATAAGGATATTGCTGTCTATTTTTATCACTAGCACTAAGAAATAAACACACATCTATGTTCAGTCTGGAGTGCAGGTGCATGCTCACAACCACCCTAGCGTTGACCTGCTGGACACAGGCCATCCTTCCACCTCAGGCTTCCAAGGAGCTGTAACTACAGACATGCACTACTACGCCCTACTAACTTTTTTATTTATTGCTGAGATAAGGTCTCAGCAAGTTGCCCAGTCTGTTCTTGAACCCACAGCCTCAGGAAATCCTCTCATCTCAACCTCCCAAAGTGCTAAGAGTTATCCAAAATAAATATCCAAAAGAGACTCATATAACTCTTTTGGATACAAATATCCAAAAGAGATTCATACAACTCAATAAAAAAGCTAGTGTTCTCATTTTAAGGTGGGCAAAGGATCTCAATAAACATTTCTCTGAAGAACATATGCAAATGGAGAAATTTCTAAAAATGTGCTCAACTCCAGTAGTCATCAGGAAAATGCAAATTAAATTATAGTGCAATATTATGTCACATGACTTAAAATGGACATAATCAAAAAGACAAGAAAAAATGTTTGTAAGGGTGTGATGAAAGAGTATTGCCTGGGCTGGTCTCAAACCCACAGGCTCAGGCAACCCACTCGCCTTGGCCTCTCAAAGTGCTAGTATTTATCCAAAATATTTAAGAAACCCAAACAACTCAATAAAAAAACTAATGTTCTCATTTTAAAATGGGCCAAGGACCTCAATAAGCATTTCTCTGAAGAACACATGCAAATAGACAAATTTCTAAAACTGCCCAACTTCAGTAGTCATCAGGAAAATGCAAATTAAATTATAGGATGATATTATGTCACATGTGTTTAATTGGCCATAATCAAAAAGACAAGAAAAAAGTGTTTGTAAGGGTGTGGAGAAAAAGGAGTTTTTATACAATGTTGGTGGGAACATAAATTGGTACAATCAGTAGCAAAAACAGTAGAGAAGCATTATTCACAATAGCCCAAACATGAAAACAGCCCAACTATCTGTAGGCAAAAAATTGATTTAAAAATTGTGGTATATGTACAGTGAAGTATTATTCAACCAAATGAATGAGGAAAATTCTGCCATTTGCAGCAATATGGATGAATCTTGAGGGTACCATTCTTGTAAAATGTCAATCAGAGAATGATTTTTAAAAAATCAATGCTCTCACTAGTGCAGAATCTGAAATATTGACATCATAGAAACAGAGAGTAGAGTTATTATAGTAGTTCCCTTGTGCCATGGGATAAAAAACTTGCAAAATTAAGCAAAACCCTTAGTAAAATCTGAGGGATTGAACAAGTCAGTGGCTGAAACTCTATTTACTATCTCATAAAGTTTGACAATTTCTGATGGTAGTCAAGAAAATCAAGATCGTCATTGCTCTAGCCTGGGTAGTGAAAAACTAAATCCTACCTACTTCTGTCAGAAAAGAGGTTCCAGTGTCCCCAAGTGTATACAGGGTTCATGGCATAGAGTTGACCTCAGAGAACGCTTGCCTAGTTAAGAAATGACTCCATTCCCAGCCTATTCTCTTTGTCAAAATTTGAGTAGTATAAACAATTCCATACAACTGAACTCACCTCTCTTCCACCAGGTTCTCTTCTGACCTCCAGCTGCTTCCAGGGACAATTCAGATCTGCAGTGAGACCGACCTCCAAGGGGTTTTTATTGAGGAAGATCTCTCCACCCACCTCATTCACATTCTGCCCCTCCTTTATAACTCAATCAGATTTGATTCAATTCTGGCATGGGTGAGAATTTTTCTGGACTCTTGCTCATGGAGTTTTGATTCCTAACATGTTTTACATTTATTTACATTAAATCAATCATGTGCTGAATCTGTTCTCTTTGGGAACACTGGGTGGCCTCAGTCTATTGATCTGCCTCTAGTGGATTCTTTCAAAAAATCATTTTGCCTGGAATTGCATTTATATTCATTTCTTGGGTTTGGGATTTTTCCATTAAAAATTATAGAAGAGCATATTACAATTCCCAACATACTCTCAGGGTTGACTTTAGGGTCTCCCTCTGTCAGCCAGGCTGGAGTGTAGCGGCAGGATCCTGGTTCACTACAGCCTCGACCTCCTGGGCTCAGTAGTTTCTTCTGTCTCAGTCTCCCAAGTAACTGGGAATACAGGCACACACCACTATGCCCAGTTAACCTTTTTTTTTTTTTTACTACTTTTATTTGTAGAGATGAATTCTTACTATGTTGTCCCAGCTGTGTCCCAGCTTGTCGTGAACTCTTGGACTCAAGCAATCCTCTCAACTTGACCTCACAAGTTGCTGAAAAATCAAGCATGAGCCACCACATTTGGCTTGGTGACAATTTTTCATGCTATTGGCATTAAGGATTTCACCACAAAGAATGCAGATGGTTGTATCTTGAGAGTTTTAAAAATTAATAAGGACAAAGTACTGTCATACAATTATTAGATTAGGTCTTGATATCATGCCTGTTGATGATAAGACGCGGGAGAAGGTTTGTCTGGAATTGTTTCAACATTGAGCAACATTATTCATTCCCCCTATTGTGTGAAGTTAATTCCAAATAATTTTGCGTATTTTATTTTATAGCCAGAACCTCATTTTGTGTCTGAGGTAGGAGTGCAGTGGCATAAACATGGCTCACCTCAGCCTCCTATGTAGCTGAAACTACAGGTACGGCACACTGCCATGTCCAGCCAAATTTTTTTTATGAAGATCAGTTCTTGCCATATTGGTCTCGAACTCCTGGACTCAAGTGATTCTCCTGGTTTGGCCTCCCAAAGTGCTGGTATTACAGGCATGAGCCACCACACCAGCCTCAAATAGTTTTAATCATGAAAGTAAAATCTTCCCATGTTTCAGTCAAGGAAGTCAGTTAAAGTTATTCAGAAGTCTTTATGAAAATCACGTTAGGCCACAAGTAATGTTCTCAAAAGTTGAAAATTCTCAGCTAGAAATTTGGTAAAGAAATCGGCAAAGTGTTGCCTGACAAGTAGTCGACCAGTGAAAGTCTTGTCTTTTGTTAGTGATACTAACCAAAATTTAAGGTGAAAGATATTGTTATAATCTAACCATGTGTCATACATCACAATATACACAAATAGAGGTTTATTTTTCTTTTCAAAAGTGCACAAAAATGTTCCTGATGGCATTAACGAGTCATGGGTAATCAGGCTTGAACAGTGAGAAGGCAAAACTGGAACATTTTGGGGAAGGAAGGGGAGAAGATCTGATTACATTTAGACAAGGTGATTAAGTTATACATCCTTTCATTTAATCATTTCCACAGAAATTATTTGCTGGTGTTTGCTGGTTACTCTAATGATTTCATATACAACGGGGACTCAAAATACCAAAAGTTATTTGTGAAACATTGTGTATTTATTTATTTATT